TTAAAGCGACCTCACCTGACCTCACCTCACACCACCTCACCCTAAATGATGGTTTAGATAGGGAACCGTACCAAAATGGTCTTAAATTGGGAACCAGAATTATTCTACATTACCCTGGATACCATGTATGAAGCCTAACGAGCCCTTAGCCCTGTAAATCCGTTACTCCTAAACCCTAAACCCTAAACCCAATTAGCAACCTGAAGCCCCAAAACCTAAACCGGATGACTGGGTTGCTGTTAAGGAACTTAATAAATTTAAGTTATAGCATTGGGGAAGCCATAGCAATAACTATATCTATAGGTATATATAGATATACCCATTATGGTAATTTAGTTTAAGTTCCTGAATACTATATATATAATATACACCTTATGGTCATTTAGCTCAAGTTCCTTAACAGCAACCTGGATAAAGCCGGGCCCCTGAAGCTGCCTGCTTCAGGATGCGGAAGGTGTGAAGATCCTCCGGCCGCTTGCAGTCTTCGGCGGGGAAACCAGCGGTGCATTCTTTCCGGGTTTAGGGTTCAGGGCTTAGGGTTTAGGGTTTAGGGTTATATTGGGGTTTATATTGGGGATATTGAGGATTATATTAGGGTTATATTGGGGTTATATTGGGGACTATATTGGGGTTATAGGGTTTAGGGTTAAGGTTTGAACTGTTGGGTTCTAGTATGGGTCTTAAATCTTGGGGTCCTGACCCTGTAGTTAGGACGTAGGAGCCAAATACTAGAAGCCCACAGTGAGGATCTTAGATTCTTCAACACGGGGGGAGTATGTGGGTTCGGGTTTGCGGTGCGTGGATACATGACGTCTTGGGCCATCTTGCCCTACAAGGGTTTGCTGGATAGATTGGGGGGGAAGGGGGTGAGCCGTTTTCCGCCCCTAAAACCTGAGAAATCCGGATGTTCTGTGTGCGTGTTGATGGGGGAGCTGTGGCCCCAAACTAGCGAGTTGGGAGAGTGGCTTTCGACTGGCCTGCCTTGGATCTATAGGGTTCTATGAGCTTTAGGGTTTAGGGTCTAAACTCGAGGTTATATAGGGGACTATTCTAGGGGCTTTTAAGGGGGATGCTAGGAGCTTAGACTAGCCAGGATCATGTTGGGTTTAGGGAAACATTACCCCAGTCGTGGAGAAACTCATGGAGCGGAAACGGGGAAAAAGGAAATGGAAGTGGATTTATTGCAATGTTCGTAAGATTTGGGGCTGGGCAGGGAAAAGCCCAAGTACTAACCAGGTAATATCCTATAGTCTCTTATACTTGCTGTTGTAGGTTTAGGGTTTAGGGTTGAAGGTAACACAATTGCTTCGTGATGTGGATTATGGCTCCCTTTTGTGGGGTCCCTATACTAAGGATGGTAGTATGTTGGGGTTCATGTGAGGTCCCCCTGTTCTGGGACACTGCCGTCCTAAACCCTAAGCCCTAGATTTTGAGTCCCTTGAGTACAGGGTTTAAGGCTTGAAGGGTTGTAAGCTTGTCAGCATTCAGTGGGTGTAAGGCTTGCAGTAGGACTGGGTCTAGGGGTTTAGGGTTTGGAGATTCAGATGTAAGTTTCTCAGGATTTGGGTTTTCGGGTGATCAGTGACAGTACTCAACAAGCAGTAGGAAGCCGAAGCTTTCAAGGGGTCTAGTCCCAGTCACAGTACTTGCAGGAGTAATACTAAACGAAGTGTGCATGAGCTGCAATTCAAAGAGGCTCCCTGAAAAGCCATAACTTGACGGTTCAAGCCATCCCAACCCAGTATGGGGAACTCCGCAAAATTAGTGGAATGACGTATGATGCGGATGCCTTTCCTCCAGGTGTCCAGTATAGTTCAAATGCATATCTTGATTTCGCCCATTTCGGAAAACGCAGATTGCGCAAGTGCGGGCATCTCTTATCACAAACCTTTGGCTTATGACTTAGAAGTTCGATGATGATAACATGAAAGTCTTAAACCCTAAGCCCCTAGACCCCAAGCCCTGGGGCCTTAAAACCTGAACATAGCTATTACAAAGCAAGAGAAGCAGTGGTGCTGATGACCTTCAACATGATACGCGGAAGATGTAATGAAGTTCCATGGCGAAAGCACTAGCGGTGGCAATTTGACAGCTGACCAGAGGCTGTGCAACATGAAATGCCATAGACCTCCACTGTCAGCAGGCAGTCGTTTGCAAGGCACCCTTCCCCAGCATCTCATTTTGCATGGGCCAGAATAAGTCTTGAACCTTAACCTCTAATGACCCCTATACCTCTGCAAAAGCTCCTGCGTGGTCCTTAAATGGAAGGGTTGTCAAAGCCATGGTCCATGTTAGGTCCTTGTCATACCCCGGCCCATAATTACCTAAAACCTACCCCAAACCCGAAACCCCAAAACCGGACCGGATCATTTAGAAAGTGTAGGCACCATCCCGGCAGGTGAGGAGCATGACCACGCAGAGATTGTCTTCGACAACGTCCGAGTCCCCAAGTCGAACATGCTGTTGGGAGAAGGCACCCGGGGTTGGGGGTTTTAGGGCTCAGGGTCTTATGTAAAGGGGTTATATAGGGATATATAGGGTTCAATAGGGATATATAGGGTTTAAGGTTTGGGTTTCCCACAAGCAAAGGCAAGGTGCCTTCTCCCCGCAGCCCCAAACTCTAAAGCCCAGAGTTCCAACCCTAAACCCTTGTTTGTGGTTCAATAGAGAAGTATACAGTCCACTAGCCCCAACACTCCAACAGCCTGAAGGCCGGGACCCTAGACCCCCAGGCTTCTGTATGGGGGATACGTTGGGATTATATTAGATTTTCATTGGAGTATATGGGGTGTTGGGGGAATGTAGGGATTCTAGAGGTTAGGCTATACAGGTTCTTTGTGACACCAACTACCTACAGCTTAGTGGTAGTTACCCCCTAACTAGCAGGAATGACGCATAAGACTGCAAGGAATCGGGGTTGTCTTCTGGTCTTTTGGGGATACATGCGTCAGCCTATCAAAGATGTGACCTGGATCGCACCTGTAGAACTGTGACAGTCTGCCTTTGCTGTGTTCAAGGTGTCATGGTTTTAGTGTTTCGGTTTCAGGTTTTTGGACTTTAAGACTTTTAGGGTTTCAGGGCTTAGGTTGAATGCGGGACCTTCGCCCTCTTAGGGCTTAAAGGTTTAGGGTAGAGTTTTGAGTCTAAGCGCATTCTTTTAGGCCGCTGCATCAAACTCCAGCTCCAGCCTAGGCCCTCAAATGCAAACACAAGAACATACGAATACCAAAGCACAACTACATTGGAGGGTCCAGGTACACCCTACCACCCAAAAAAGGTCCAAAATAAATACCTTCTGCCCCGAAAAACACCCCTAAACTCTAACTAAACCTCTAAACCCTAGACCCCTAAACCCTAAACCCTACATATCCCTATTGAACCCTATATACCCCTGTATAACCCCCTTACATAGGACCCTAAACCCCTTCTTTCCCTGAATCCGAAGCCCTACACCCTAAACCCTATCCTGAACACCCAGGCCGTGGCTTCGAGATCGCGCAAAGTCGGTTGGGACCTGGGCGCATTCATCACTGAACCTTGCCTGGGCTTAGGGTTTAGGGTCTAGGGTGTAGGGGTTAGGTATTGTTCTGGGTTTAGGGCTTATCATCTGGGATTTAGGGTTTAGGGTTTGACATTTGGGGTCTAGGGCTTAGGGTTCATTACTTGGGGTTTAGGGTTTAGGGTTTAGTGTTTCGTTTTCACGTACAGGCTTAGAAGAGATGCATTTTAGAAGGCTTAGGGTCTACGCCAAATTTCCCTGTAAAATCAGTCAAAACTTTGCAGTGGGCATCTTCAAGTATCGGGATGCTGAGTTTCGTAGAGGTGCAAACGTTTGGCATAGGGGGATCCGAGCGCTCTTCCTTTTAGTACAGGTGAGCGTTGCTCGGGCATTCCTCCTGCCTCCTGCGGGTCAAGTAGGAAGACAAACCTCTGCACATGGCCTGTCGTGTGAATTTGTGTGAGACATATGGTAGGTTGTCAGAGTCATGGTCCCAACATAGCACGGCACCGCATATTTAGCTTGCAGAAAATGGGGCCATAATCTTGAGAGTTCCCGTAAGCCAAAGCCTGTATATCCTGAAAACCTCAGATATGCCTATAGATGCCTACATATCCCTATGTATCCCCACCTGTTCCTTGAAAGACAACCCCCCCTCATAATGGCTCTCATACTGTTGATACGAAAAATCCTGCATGACCTTAGTATACTATAGTGCCATAATTCCTAAGGTTTGAGGTACCTAAGGTCATGCAGGATTTTTCGCATCCACCATATCAACCCCAAGCCCCTTAACCTTGGCCTGGGCCTGCGTGGATTCAGGGTTTAGGATTTAGGGGTTTTGGTGTCATGCCCATCCACGACATTGAAGACCTTGAGACTCGTAATCCTATCAAGCCCTGGGTTAAAAAGGGGTTTGGGGTTTAGTGGTTTCTGGTTTAGGGTTTAGGTTAGGTCAATCCCCCCAATAGTAATAGCTCCTTAATATGGAGTCAATAGGGCCTTAGTATACCTACAATAATACCTTGTGGTACCCATTACCTGGTGGGGGGTTGACCCAGGGTTTAGGGTGTGTGTGGAGCCGACATCTGGTTTGAGTTGAGACCATGGGGTCTGTCATCAAGGTTACCCTCGAGATTCTGAAGGGTTGTATGGCTTTGTATTTATTGCACGGTTACATATATTTATTTATATATATGCATAGGGGTTATATGTGTATATATATATATACGGGCAGTTTATTCAGGGCTTAGGGATATTATACCAGTAATGGCGACTCAAGTGGAAAAGAAATTGGAAACTCCACTGGAAATTGGGGTCATACTGGAGATGTAGAGGGGCGAACAAAATAAGCGGGTTTTGGTTACCCCAACCTCCAGACTCAGTACGCTATTGTAGTCATATGATGGTCATAAGGCCCACGTTCGGGGCCCATCTACCCGGTCCGAGAGACAAGAGCTAATCCTCTCCCCACAAAATGACAATGACATTTACGGACCGAAGCATAGCAATCAGAACTGTACCTGCATTTCCTCATTACTTGGACAGTGGATTTCTTAAAAGGGGCGGTGGTTACCCTGTCCCAATCTGACCTGGAGCACCACGTAGGTCCATTGAAAAGACATTTTTCGAAAAAGATCAGCTTCCATATTAGTCGGTGGAGCATGCACTGACCCTGAGCACTATGTATCCACTGTATAATCCCTGTCAACCACCCTCTGGTGGACATTGGTTGTATGTTAGGTGGGAGATGATTCCCTAAACCCTAGACTCTAGACCTCATACTGAGCATAAGCCAAGGTATGCGGTGCCACAGCAGCAGCAGAGGGCTGAAACGGGGTGTCCAGTACCCTTTGAAGGCGCTGCATTTTTAGGAGTATATGGGGATGTTATAGCGATATGAAGGGTTTAGGATTTCCAAGCCTTTTCTACGGATCCCCATAACATGGATATTATAGTATATGGGGCTATATAATGGGCTCCCCGTG